AAAATTTAAATTTGCCGACTGGAATTCTTTCGGATGATTGACTTTCGGAAAATCGACGCTCTACTGTAATACAGGAAATCCTCATTAGTTTGAAATTTAAGGGCCAAAATAATTGCAACTTCAAATTATCATATTTTGAGTTAACCAAGATTTACATATGTCTGTACAATGTGCCAGATGCTATGTAATTGGTGTAATTTATTAAGCAAACAGAATACAACTATGTATGCAGAACACTATTTTCATTATTAATAATAATGATATAAATGTGAAGGTAAACAGCATGTCTGGTGAGAACCTCACAGGTTTCCAGATAGGTTTCATAAAATGCAAAGCAGTATTCCTTGAAATGTTGCCCAAATTATTTTTAAAATGGTTCAAAAAGTATGAAGTTTCCAAAATCTACTAGACTAGAGCCCTATAAAATATCTCAATCTGCTACTTGTAGCCCAATCTTGCCAGCCCAAAAACCAGCCATATGAGATCATTTTATGAGATAAGAGGAAGAAAAAAGTAGTCCATGGGTACGGTGATACTGGAAAATGTGTTACTGTAAAAGCAAAGACATTTTGATAAGATTAGAGTTGTTCTTGGTCTCTTGTTCACTAATAGTATGGAGGAACTTCAATCTAAAGAAACCTAGTTAGCATACACATATCAAAGTTAGGACAGAATTTTCACTTCAAATTTCAAAGTAGCCATATTTCAAACTAACCAAATTTTTTAACAAGTAAATCTCTATATCCATGGCAAGGACAAAAGTACAGTTATTAATTAACAGGATTTTGAACTGTCTGAGTCTTAATTAATGAGGATTTTCTGTAATTGAGGCAGAGCATTAGCAAAACCTCTTCTATGTGGCCTTTGTTATGTGATGTTGCACAGTTGCTACCGCATCTTGTATGGACTTATAGAATTAAGTTTGTTCTCAAAATTCAATGGGCTGATTTTGATAAAACTTTGCCCTATTCCATTAATTGCGATTACGAATCCAAAAATGTAAGTAGGATCCATTTAAATAAAAAGTAGGAGGCCATGACTTCATTTCTGATATACAGAGGTATTAAAATGACAATGTACAATATGTACTTTCAAGTGCAACTGAGCATGTTTAACAGAATTTAGGGGTAAAAAATAAAACAGTATTGCATGCATATAACAAAATAGGCACAAAAAATGAACAAAACACAAGAACAAAGAAATCAATGGCAATTACTTTGTTCTTGAATCGCCTCTCTGTGTCAGCAAGTGCAAGGATCATCTCTTCCATGGACAGCAGGTACAAGTTCAAGTTCTTTATTGCCGTAGCATAGCATAACATGATATTTGATAGCGTAACATAGCATAACATGATATTCGATACAAATCAATTATATACAAGGTATGAAATAAAAGACGGGACTGTAGATACGGAGCACTATATACATAACATGATATGCAAAGCAGTTTAATTACATACTAGAGATCGCGTAACAAATAAGAATGACTTTATATACAAGACGTTGAATTGGAACACGATATACAAGACAAGTACATGTGAAAGGTCAAATACATAAATGGAATTGCGTAACAATATGAATAAGATATAAGAGGCGGTATTTATGTTGCTAGGAGGTGCTAGTTGAGACGTGGAGAGCTGCAAGTTTATAGTATTGAAGTAAACATAAGTGGAACGTTCGTTGATCAACTCGTTGCAACTACAGGGCCAATCCTTTCCCCAAGAGTTGATTATAATCTTTAAATTTTGCCACTCAGCATCAAGCATTGGGCAGTTGAAAATAGGACAGCAGGTACAAGGATCCCTGCACTTGTTAGGCACATAAGAGGTGGATCATCTCTTCTGTGCCTAACAAGTGCAGATTGCTTCTTTCTTTCCAGCACCACTCAATTCTGTTGCGATACAACAAAGTCACATGATGTCCTAGTCATATATGGCTGGATTTTATTCAAGATATAATATAGCTAATTAATTGTAAAGATATGAAATTTGGACTAAAGGTTAAGCTGGTTGGTTGTTGATAGTATAGTCAGAAATATTGGGTTGGCCAAAAAGTTTGTTTAGTAGAACCATGCTTCTGTATTCTTTATATTTTTTTCCTTGGAATACATACTGGACCCCAACAACTTACTATAAGGACATTTTAGACCAATGAACTTAACATGCCATTTGTCCTAATTACACCTGGAAGCAGAGGGGTACCCATGGATAGCCTCCTTTCATGAACACCATGTGAACTAGTCATGGAAAACCTGGAAGACAACATTCTACCTCCTTTCAAACATAACATAGAGGTTTGTTCAAGATATGTAGATGATGATCTTACCATTTGGAGGAGTAAACCTGACATGCAAGCATTTTTTGTATGCTTTTAACACCCCTTATGTTTTCACATTGAATTTAGAACAGGTGCATCACATGGAGATACACTTTTTAGACATCAGTATGCTGGGATTTTCCATCTATTATATTGAAAACCATCCTACTAGCCAGTCTTCATACCAGTGCATTCACATGATCCCTTTATGTTTAAACTGACATGTTTTAGATCCCTTATAAAGAGAATGAACATGCATTTATCTGATGTCACATGAACAGGAGGGAGGAACTGATTATATCAACAGCATTGGGTCAGCCTGGTACCAACATTGGTACCAACCCAGAAGGGCTCATTAAAGAGTACTAGATACACACAGAGACAAGAAAAGGAAGCCTGACAATATAAAATCATAATTTATAACAACAGTTAGTGCTATAGGGATATTGCTAGAATAAACAATGTAGCATTAACATTCAAGAGGCATTCCACAATTTATATGTAAGTGCATAAAATCTCACTACCTTGAAATCAGTCCAGCAGTTGTCAAAATTATCACCTTTCTAATGTTTTCAGCCTACTCTGAAGAAAGTTTTCATTTATGAAAATTTGACAATTGCTAGCCTAATTTTTGAGGTTAGAGAGATTTTAAGTACTAATAAATCATCCAGTTAGAATTTGAAGAATTGTTAATTTATATGTTGCTTAAGAACAACAAGAACACCAACAGAAGTTGTATTTTCTATTCTGTTGTCCATGACTTGTATGGAGTACACCCCTAGAAGACAATGGTGGTGGTGCTACAATACATCAAGCCACCACCAGATTGTTACATACAGGGTGTCCCAAAAAAAATGTACTCACTCTTTATCAGTCCAATAGAAGAAATAGAAAATATCAGTTAAAGAAGACTAATGTTTTCTATAATGCTATTAAATTTTCTTTAATTGAAGTGGAGCGTTAGCAAAGCTTCTTCTCTGAGGCTTACAGAATTCTGTTTGTTCTCAAAATGTTAGATAGATTTTGATAAAGCTTTGCCATTTTCCATGAATTGAGACAAGGAATCCAGAAATATAATGGGGGTCCATTTAAATGTAAAAAAATCCAGCAATGAATTGTTTAACTTTCCCAGCAACATTTTAAATTCTGCTGCTGCTATTTGTTATGATATTTCATTTAAAAAATTGTTTACATTTTTAATTGTTATAAAATGGCAAAAAGCTTAATATTGAGAGTAGGGATGGGTTTTATAAAAAATTGTAAATTCTAATAATGAGTAAAACCATCATTAAGTCCAACCCTACTCAACAGTCGGCTGGATAGCCAAGTGATTAAGGTGGCAACCTACTGTTCTGGGGACCCAGAATTGAATCCAGATGGGATGAAAAACCCCCAGGAATTTTTCGTGGGGTCTGTCCGGATATGTCGGGCCCTGTCCTTCATCACCCAGCCACCCTATTGTAGGCCTTGCCGAACCCATAATGGGCTTGATAAAAGAGGCCTCTTAGTGCCCAAAGGGCAGGGGAAACCCTGCTCAAGATATGACACACGACATTCTTTACCCCCACTTCCTTGACCAAGGATCATGTCTCCTGTGGCCTTCAGTTATGAGGGTAGCCTCTTTTGTAGCAGCTAATGCAAAGTTTACCTGTTCATATTTGTCAGGAACCATATAAAAATCACCTCTTCTGTGAATAACAAGGGATTGCTATTTCCTTCCAACTCTGCTTCAGTTCTATCACAATATGACAAAGTCATGCAATGTCCTAGTTTAAGTTATTAGACTTTATCTATGTCAATAAACTCCTAAATCAAAAACTTAATATATTAGTAATGGACAGTTGAAGGGTGAGTACATTTTTTTTGGGACTCCCTGTATATATCTCCAAGAGCACTCAACTTTGATAAGAATGCAACAAAAGCCACAACCACTTTGTCCATTCTTGTGTTAGATACAGATGCCCATACCCACCTAGATCAGAGAAAACTTGTACATTGACAATGCACAAGTCAAACATATGGCACTTTGAAATGATTGAAATTTACAATGCAATAAAGGAAGATTCTGCTATCAATTATAAAGACACCAATTCTCTTACATGAGCATAGAAAGCCTTATTTGAATTCCAGCATTATGCTCCTAAAGACTGGTCATATCACAGATACCAATAACAAATCAGAATAAAAAGTCTAACATCAAAAGAATTTTTCCATTGCACTTGAAAATCAACTACACCACTATGGTGACTGCAGTTATGTCACAATTTAAATGACAAAAATATGACACATTTCCTGGTATGCACACTCATGTTAGTCACTTTGCATACCAAATGTGAGAATGACTTGCACTTATCCATAACCAAGTAAGAAATGAGAAAAGTGTAGGGTGAAGGTGAGTGGGCATTGAGTGATGTTTTACTCTATATTACAGCCTTTAATTCTGATATTTCATATTTTTTTTATTACTTCTGCAAAACTTAAATAATCATAAAAGATTGATATAAATAAATTTATGAAACATTTAGCATATATTTTAATTTCTTTTTGATTTAAAAACTGTAAATGCTATAAAATTTTATAATCTTTTGCTAGAAACATGATCAAATTTTATTTCCTAATGAATAAATTTAGTAAATAATAATTTTAGAAATGATTATTCATGTCTGTAATTTATTTTTATTGCAGGATAAATGCAAAGAAACTTCTGATAAACTTAAGAATGAATTAAATGCAGCAAAAGGTATAAATAAATTATTTTAACTTATAACAAAATAATTATCAGTTTTCATATGATGCATGTATTTGATTTATATGATAATCATGCTTATTACTAGAGAAAAGATTTTAAGATGCACCTTTCCAAAAATATAGCTGTTTTCATACAGATAGTTCAAGATATATATTTAGGACATGAAATGAAGTGAAATGAACATACGATGTTGTACTTTTTTTGTGAGATTAGCACTTTCAGGATTCTACGCACCTGGAAAGTCAGGCATTTGCATTAGTGTTTGGAAAAAGTCAAGGAATTTGTCAAAAATTGTCAAAAAGTAGAATTCTTCGATCTTTTCCTCTCCTTTATCTGCAGTTGGTGCATAAACCTGCAAGACATTCATCCTGAATGTATCACCTTCCAATTTGGTCATGATGACACTATCTGACTGTCATATTATACTGTGTACTGATCTTGCTATTGCTCTGTTTAGTATCACCCTGACTTCCATTCCAGTGGTGTTGTTCATCATTACCGGAGTAATATACTACATATTCTGAATCATGGCATTTTCCTCTTTCTGGTCATCTTCTTGCTTATTTCCATTATATCAATATTTAGTTAATTTCATGTATTATGTTATGAATTTTATCGCTTTCTTAGATACTTCTGACATTCCATATACAGATTTTTATGGTTAACCCTGAGATTCTTTGCACTTTCTGCCCACTAAAGGGCTGCTGGGGTCTGAGAGCCATTTGTAATAGATTTACAGCCATGAAAGATTTCCTGAGAAAGTTAATGCAGTGGTTTTCCTTTGCCTTTTGCATTGCAGAACTAAGGCTATTTTTGCCATTTCGGCTGCACCCTTAGCTTCCTAAAGTTAAGCCTTTCTGACATCCATTCTCTCAGCCTTAACCCAGTACTGACCTTCCAAGGCCAGAGATGATGTTTTCTTCTCATACTTTATTAATTACTTCATTTTAACTGATATAACTGTTAATTAGAAAAAATAATTAATTATAAAGTTGGAGAAGCTATAACATATGTTCCTAATAAGTCAAATGCTGTATTATTTTGTCAATGTGTCATACTGTAAGAGACATTGGGTCATGGAATTTGTAGAAAGTTGGTCAGGGAAAGTCATGGAATTTAAAACAAAATTTCAGTAGGAACCCATTTCTTCCCTCTTTTTTCTTCTCTATGATGTTTCAGCACCATTTTCCTAACTCTGCATTTTTAAAAGATTGGGCAGAAAAATAAATTATTTACTCCTGTTGAGCAACTTCACACAATCTCATACCTTTATTTTGTAGAGCAGATTGAGAGATATAACAATGGTATATTTATCATCATTGTAGCCCCTATAGTTTCCTAGATAATGTAGTGTAGTTCTGTAGCATACCAAAATACAACAGTGTGAAGGTGAGGGTAGGATTGATAAGGACTGTACAAATTAATAAGATACAAAACAGATTTAATCAGAGAACAATATAATTCTGAGGTTCATTTACAATTAAAAATGTAGATGGGAAATCTGTTGTCCCTTCTTGCACAACACAAGAATGAAAAAAACAAGCAATCGTAACTTACGCAACGCGACACTCCAGAATCTTTTAGGTTAGGACTAGTACAAATATTCTTACAAAAACAATGATAGTTGAGTCCTCTGTGTGATGTCTCTCTCTCTCTCTCTCTCTCTCTCTCTCTCTATGCTGATTTCCACTTCCACATGGTTATTCTTTCCTTCCTCTTTCTTTCTGCATTCCAACTCGATTCCTCTGTTGCAGACTGGACGCGATCCAGGAGAAAAAAGGTACTCTCACACACGTGGACCTTTCATTTATAACCTACGCCATATACATGACGCGGTAACACACGTCAGAGCTCAGGGGCCAATCACAGGCTCGCACCACCACACCGCAAGATGTGATATATATTTACAGAATAAAATTACAAAACACCCCAATACGCAACAATATGAAATATATATATATAATGACAACATTACATATACTTAGTGATAATCACTACAGTAGCAACACCCGCGTGCAAGGAAACACAAACTTAGACAAAACAGTAGTGGTCTATTTGCCAGTTTGCTGGAGTTTGCATTCAGTATATAAAGTATTTCATCCAGAGTTTGGAAGAAGGTATGAAGGAGGAGGAACAGTGGAAGATATTGATGACTGTGAGAGACAACCTTGACAGATTTGCCAAAGCCAAATTTGAATTAAATTTGAGGAACAATCTGGATGTGGAACCTTTGTCACATTGACTGAATTTCCTTTCCAAGTGCTTACAAGATGTGCTCTATAAGTTTCATTTGATGTTGCGCAGTTTCTCCACATACAATAATCTCCTGAGCCCAAAGCACCAGAGACTTTCTTTCAAAAATGCAAAATGTGCATAATCCAGTATAACAAGTTTGTTAAAACCCAGTAAATAGCGAGGTTGCAAAGTTTTCGTCTCAAAAACATGAACATCGAGCACCGCTAGCTTGTAAGTGACGTTTGACATTCACATATTAAGAAATAAAGTATAATTAAAAAGTAAAATACATAAAAATTAAAAATTGTATGTCAAGTATTAGCTACAACTACACTATTAAAAATTGTATAGTGCTTTTTTACATTTTAGTTTAAAACTAAAGAAATTAATAAATAATAGTTTTTTTTTTTTTTTTTAATTTTTGTCCGATGGAGATAATTATGATTAATTCTTTTGAAGACAAAGTCCTTTCCAAAAAATAGGAACCACCATTTATTAACTTTGTGTTCCAGACATTACACTTTTGGTGACTGACCTTTTCTTTTAGGCTACTGGCCGCCAAACAGTCCTTTAAAAAACACAAAAATATCCAGTTAAAAATATAGACATTTTTAAAAAATAGGAACTGGTGATGTTTTCCTCATCTACATTTTACCAGTGCTTATTTTGTTGTAGATAAAAGCTGAAACAACCCCAGCAATGTATGATGGAAAATAGAAGACGTTCAAACATCGCCAGTTCCTGTTTTTTAAAAACGTTTATATTTTTAACTGGATATTTTTGTGTTTTTTTAAAGGACTGTTTGGTGGCCAGTAGCCTAAAAGAAAAGGTCAGTCACCAAAAGTGTAATATCTGGAACANAATTCTTTTGAAGACAAAGTCCTTTCCAAAAAATAGGAACCACCATTTATTAACTTTGTATTCCAGACATTACACTTTTGGTGACTGACCTTTTCTTTTAGGCTACTGGCCGCCAAACAGTCCTTTAAAAACACAAAAATATCCAGTTAAAAATATAAACATTTTTAAAAAATAGGAACTGGTGATGTTTTTTTCATCTACATTTTACCAGTGCTTATTTTGTTGTAGATAAAAGCTGAAACAACCCCAGCAAGGTATGATGGAAAATAGAAGACGTTCAAACATCGCCAGTTCCTGTTTTTTAAAAACGTTTATATTTTTAACTGGATATTTTTGTGTTTTTTTAAAGGACTGTTTGGTGGCCAGTAGCCTAAAAGAAAAGGTCAGTCACCAAAAGTGTAATGTCTGGAACACAAAGTTAATAAATGGTGGTTCCTATTTTTTGGAAAGGACTTTTGTCTTCAAAAGAATTAAAATAATAGGTTATCAAAATTATTTAGATTGTGAGAAATATGATATAAGAAAGATCATTCAGATAAACTCAGGTAAAGAAAGGAATAAAAACACAAGTTGAAGGCATAGATTTCTCAGAGGTATTTGCAAAGAAAGCCAATTAGAATAAATGAGACCATTAAAAATTTGTAATATAACAAATGATCAAAATATTGGGTCGTCAAGGATGAAATTTGTGGAAAAAAAGGCAAAGTTGGTTGATAACTTACAAATATAAGGAATTATTTTATTCATCAAAGTATGCACCCATATTGTCTATACACTTTTGCCATTTAAGTGGCAGGTTGTTCAGGCCGGTGGTAAACCCTGGCTGACGAGAGTCAATGAATTCCTGGAAGGCCAGTTTTACAGCATTGTCGGAATTAAATTGTTTTCCTATTAAAAAGTTGTCCAAATTGTGGAAGAAGTGTTAGTCAGTGGATCAACTGGTCGGTCATAATCAACTTATTGACCATGCCTCTCTACAAGAAACAATTAACATGTTGCTCTTTCTTAGTATATTTGAAAAGACATGCAAGGAATATTTGAAATTGTAGATTGTCACCAAATAACAGCATTCATTTGAGCATTTCATCCATAGATACACCATTCTTTCATGCGCAGCTACCTCTCTGTTTGGCATTATTGTGGATTCCTTATGATTCTATTGTTAATAACATAAAATTAATACTATTAATACTTAAAATCAGAAGTTTAGTTATGAAATCAATAAAAAAAAAAGTATCAAAACTGAATGATTTCAGTTAAATTATCAGGAATGTATATAATGAAATTTTGTTTTAATCATACAAATTTATATAATTAAGAATGCTTATTAAAAATTGAATTATGACTATTTACAAAAAATTTTTTGAGTCTATTTATCATCCTTTTAACACACCACAGAAGTAACAGTATATTGGCTTGGATGAATTTCCACAGAACACATGATAAATTATAACGTGTTATCATGTATGCTGTTATAAGAATGCTTATGTCAAGTATTAATTTTAAATATATAATAATGATGATTACATTATAAGACACTTGAAACCTGAGAAATTAATGAGGATTTTTGATATTCTGAACACACTTAATAATTTTTTGAAAAAAACATGTATAATTTATTATTATTAATGATGGTCACTAAATTACAGGAAATTCTTCACGATCCTGGTCGTGGTGCACCTCTTGCACAAGTAGTGTTCAGAGATCCCTATCGTTACAAATTGAAGAAAGAATTGTTTCTTGCTGCAGAAGGAATGCATACTGGACAGTTTCTGTACTGTGGAAAAAAAGGTTTGTGAAAAAATTTTAATTTTAAATATTATTGATTTAAAAATGATGATAGAAAATTAATTTATGATCTTATGATATCACAGAGGCTGTTGCTGAATTTTTAA